ATGCCAAGAACAATTTACAGCAGCTAGACAGACTGAAGAGACTCACGCAGAATTATCTTCATTTTCCATAGCTAAACTGCCATCTGATGAATACTACTCCAGCATAATTTAACACTCCTGCTTAAAAGGGCTTGCCCTTGGCGAGAGTAACAAATAACTGCCACACTAAAAGCACAAGTTTTAAAGATAACACTGTGTTTCCAGGGCAAGAGGAACTATCACCTTTGAATTCTGGCCAAATTCAGTGCATCGATCAATTGAACACCAGGTATCAACAGTAGCCTCTGCATCCCTAAACAAGAGTAAGGAGTACAGTGTTTGTAAGGTCTTCAGAAATCAGTTTATGGCATTAAATTCCTCATTCTTCCTTTATCCCCCCATTAAGCTTTTTCCCTACATACAAGCACACATAGCTGCATTTATCACCAGGCCAAGGTGAAGAGAGCTGCCAAAAAGCCCAGTGTATGGAGAAACTGCTTTCCCAATGACAAACATCCCTCTATTTTCTCTCTTCTCCCCAGCTTCCAAAGATGCTGCTGATGAAAAAGGGTTTTATAAAAGATTTGGATTCTCACATTACACCATTTAAGGAAAGATCAAGCACGTCTCAGAAGTCTGAATGTTTCTTTGCCTACCCGCATTAGAAGCCCACAAGGGCCAGAACATATATTTGCCTTTGCTCATCTTCTGTAGTTCTGTTAAGCCACAGTCCAGATCCCCCTCACAGCAGCAGTTATGTGAAGCAGCTCTGGAGTCTGCACTGGCCGCGGGAGCAAGAGCTGCTCAGCCTCACTGGCATCTTTTCCTGCTGCTCCATAGGCTGATCCAGAGATCAGAAAAAGGCTACTAGAAACATAGGTTTCAACAAGCAGTTGTGCTTCCCACTACACAGAAAAATGCAGTTTTGATCAGTTTTAGACACTGCATAAACCAGGCTTTCCATCTTCACAACCGGCAGGTATTGCCATAGTATTCGTAAACAGGTAAGAAACAGGATGCTTGACTTCCAGAAGGAGCGCTAATTAACAATTCACATTGCAAGACAAGGATTTTTGAGAAAGCCAACTGGGACATACTCTTTCTCCTCAGAAATTGTTTTTCAGGTGTGATTCTACATCTATTAAATAGTACTTAAATGGGCATCAAGCAACAGGCAATCTAAAATGTGCTGCCTAGCGCTTGTCGCTTGAAAGAATCACAGGGAAAAGGGAGAGGAAACCTACAGTACCGGACTGCCTGGGGACCCTGGTACAGGAGAATCGGTGCACCAGACACTAGCTGCAAATCTGAGAGCCCAGACAATTAGGGCATTTCTTCCACATCGGGTGGATAGTTACAGTTTTGCTATATGACTGACCAAATGTATATGAGAAGAAAAACACCGGGGGACACATCCACATACTGTGGCCTTAAAGCATAATTTGTTTCATTTTTTTCTTTCACTTTCTTCTACTAAATTTTAGGTACTCCTACATCAAGGAAAGCACTGCAGGAAACACTACATTTTGGGAAAGTCATTTGTATAAACTAATCTTGTTTCACAGAAAAAGCCTGAGCAGACCTTCCACATGTTTATGGACTTATGTCCAAAAACTTAGGTGGTATAGAAGAGCTTGCCTTTGAGAAGATTTCAATGAATACAATAATGCTGACATTTCTGGCCCATTCAAAGAGGAAAATATTAAATTCCATTAAGCTTTCTCCTAAAAGATGTGCATTTGAAGATAGATCAACTATATTCAGAGAAAGTTCACTTTCCAGAACAGTAAAGTGATATTGGAAAGTAGGGAGAATTGTTAAAAAAACACCCACACAATACCACCAACACACAACTTAGCAGTACCTCAGTTCCAGTAGTTTTTGACCGCTTTGCAGGAATCTCTTTATCCTACAGAGAAAAAGTGAAGTAAAGAAGTGTATAAAGAGCATTAGAGAGCAATACTGGCTTCACATAAATACAGACAATAGCAGTTTTCAATGCAATTGAAACATCCCTTTGTGAGCATAAAGGCCTAAACTATAACTTTTAAAAGTAAGTACTCAGTTCTGTTTCATTGCGAAATTATAACCTTCCAGATGTTAATAAGAGAAGATAAAAATGTACATGGACACATCTACTTTCTCCCAGCTTCTAAAAAATGAAGCAGAATTTTAGGCCTGTCCTCAACTGATTAAAAACAGAGTCATCCTTCTGTTCATTTGAAAAATATAAAACACCACAAAACACAAATCATCCAAATACCACAGCATGGAAAATAAAGCTGGAGTGATCCATCATAAAATAAAGTCCACAAAGCTTAGACAGGGGATGGAAGGAATATAACATACAACCCTTGTATTCTTCTCTTACAAAGAAGGCAAAATTAACAGAGACCTTCACAATGACTCCCTGCTTTGCTGCCCTCTCAGGCCCCTGTATCCTGTGGAATGCCATTTCCTTGCTCACACACCAAAGCCTCTCCATACAGATAAGACATTGCTGTACTGAATTTAACCTACAGAAACCTCATGAACTATAACCCACCCCATCAGACCTTGAACTCTAGATGCAGGGACAGCAAGGTCCCCAAGGAACGCATGATGAAAATGTCCTTTCCTTTCCAGCAACAGCCCCCACCTTAGTAATGACTCTCTGAATGAGACTTACCTCTTCTATTGACTACCATACTTATGGTCTGCTGATCAAAAAAATTTCATTCACATTTTTAATCTCTGGGTTTAAATAATTTGAGAGATTGGTTTGTTAGTTCAGAAGTCTCAGTCTGAACATGTTACAACTCCTGACCTTTCTCAGCATTTGTATCATCCATACAGACCCAGCAACAACTCAAGAAAACGGCCGAAACCCTCCCAACCTGTTTGTGTAAAAAGCATACCATAATAAGCAAACCTATGTCTAACCCAAAGACTAAACTGGCAGTTCCCACTGGTGACACACAAACCAGGCGTTTCATTATTGCTATAATGGAACTCCAGGGAGTGTGGCTAACAAGACGTGAAAGTGCTCAGCTGCACCTCAAGCCTTGCAATCCTCCAAAGGTGCCATTACCACTTCTCCCGTGGGCATTACTGCTGGCTTCCAATTATAATGCTCCTTTGGGGAATTACAGAAATACTACGTCAGCTACATCAGCCTAGGCTGTACATCTTCTACTGCAAGGAAATGTAAAATTTTAATTGCAGATGTAGAAATATGCCAATTTAAAAAGAGGAGTAGTGGAAAATTAATTCAGGCACACAAACGCAAACCTTCTCAGCCACTTAGAGACTTAAAGAGACATCTAGGCTTGTCTACACAGTCATCATTATGTTTCTCTGCGAGTTACTGAACTCAGCAGAGAAAATACAGTGCAGTTATTGTGCGTGCATTACCTAAGGGATCAGCCTGGGCTAAAGTGGTCCCTTCCAGTACTATACATTTGTCTGCTAATTGTTAAAAAAAAAAAAAGGCAGCTTTCAAAAGCCTGCATTTTTACCTAAAGAATACCAACAAAACTGTTACAATCTTGAAACTGTCATTCAAGGCATAAATACATACCTCTTTAAATCCAGCAAACAGTGGAATGTCATGAAACGGGGAAATATATTTACCATCTGTGTTCTCTGAAGAAAAAAAAAAAAAGCAGCATTACAAATCTAAAGATGTCATAAGATGTTGGCATTGCTAACCATTATGCATTAGAGAAATGCATGATATGCTACAATTATGCATCAGTTAAACTTTTTCTGAAGTTTAATTCCAAGGACTAAAAATTAACCTACATGTAGGACAAGAAATTTGCTTGTTTGACAAGGACTCATTAGAATCAAAATTATTGCTCTAGCATTCTCTACTACACTTCTGACTTCCTGGAAATATGAGATATGTAAAGGTGAGAAGATCCTTCCATTCTCTTTTCTCCTCCTCCCTGGCCATACACAACCACTAGTGAAAAAAAAATACCAAAGGAACCTCATTTCCATGAGCAACCAGTGAATTCATCTGGGTTCCTAGCAGTGCTGCCTTGTGACTTCACTGTATTTCTAAAAGAGTTTCATGACCACAAAGAGAAAATCTGCCAATATACCAGGCAGAGGTCTGATCAAAAGTAAGGGATGGGATAATTGCTCAAGCCCTAGACATGAAACATAACACCTTGAAATCAGCAGAAATTGACATTAACAGGGGCCCAATCTGTACCGGAGCCTTGCTCCCACTGTAGAAATGAACAAATTCACTGGAGTGGATGTTTAAGCTTTGCATACTCAGAAACTTCTCAAGATATCAAAAGACCTAAGCAGGAACATCAACAGTATAAGGTTCTAATGCAAATCTCTAGGATTGTCTCCCCTGCTAGCATCCCTGTTCACAGCAAAGAGAAAAGCACACAAGGAACTTTAATTTAGCTTTGCATTGTACTTTGACCACCTCAGCAACAAGGAGTAAATGGTAGTTGTTTTTGCAATCATGGAAGCCTTCCAGATGTTCCTCCCAAATAAAACTGTTTAGTGGTAGGCTGCTTATTCCCACTAAGTAAAGTGACTTTCTCTAGATGAACTCCTGTGCTGGCAGCCACCTTGGGACTGAGCACAAGGGAGTTGTGTCAGGGGGTATTGCTGACGGGGCACACAACGCCTCTGCTTCTCTCACACTAGCAGACATCAGGATTAACTTCTTTCAAGTAAACAACACAACAACGTACCAAACCACTGCTAAAGAAGTTGTATACAGATGACATGGTTACTAAAATGCGTAATTCTGAGATGGCATACCACCAGCTCTCAATGGGTTTTGAGAAGCCTCCTGGAGCGCTGCCCATGCCCTTCTGGTGCCACTTGCTGGTGCTGGCCCTACAGGCCCCTGAGGGCTGGAGACCCGTTTTCGAAGCCAGCCTCCCCTCACAGTGACGTTCCTGGGGTAGGGCTGGCCCCAGCTCCCACTGGGCTATCATACCTCAGAGGCAAGGCGAGGCAAAGCTCCCGTGGCCAAGGCCGTCCTTGAGGTCCCAGAGCTCCCCCGTGGCCTTTGTGCACAGGCTGCCATACCAGCGCACCAGGGCAGTGCATCACCCCCAGCGCCTCCCGCTCCTCGACACCCTGCAGGGGCCTTCACGGCGCTGGAGAAACGCACGGCTGTGGTGCGCACACCTGACAGGGCCCAGCATCCCCTCCAAAAACCCATCTGTCAGGAAATCCCCTCACCACAAAAAAACAGCTTCCCCACACCCCGGAGTGGGGGAATGGCTCAGGGGCCTCAGCCAGCCCGAGGGGCCGCGGTAAAAGCGGGGAATCACCACTGCCTCACCCCACCGTGCACCCCGCAAGCGAGGAAGGAAGAGGGTTATGGAGCGCGGGGACTG